TGAAGGGGTTTATAACTCTAATAGTTTACCGTAGATAAACCCTTACATCATTGTTTTATCCATGTCATACCTGTTCACAGCACGATGGCATTCAATTTTCTAAGAGAATGGTGAGTAGATAGAACACGTGTTTTGCCTCCATCCTTACATCCCACCTACCCTCCTTAGACAGTATACAAAATACCCCCCCCCCCCTCCGTTTCGTCCTATTTTCGAAGAATTTTAGAACGTAAAAAGCTATAAGCCATTTATATTCAATTTGCAATGCTTGGATTATAGTTAAAACAGTGCACCAGTCGACCTTAACACTTTACAGGAATATTCAAAACAGGTAGTGAAATAAAGATTTTCTTGCTCTCTTCAACAAATCTCTCTTTGAGAGAGAAAATGTGTTTGCTAATCAACGGATGTCTCCTGTGTGTTTTCACTGAGTCATTGAATTAGATCAATTATTCACGATCAATGAACTATAGATATATTGTTACAAATAGGACAATTTGTTGTTTTGCTCCTTATTATTGATGTATAGTAAATGATATATCTCACCGCTTATTGAATGCATTTACTGAATACGACAATGGACGTTGCCTTAGGCGTTTTAGTTAAACTAACTAAACCAAAAGAAATTTGTCTCCTTACAAATACGGACAGGAACTGAAGATTTTCCAGTACTATATACGACAACAAATAAAACATTGATGGCGCTCAATACGGATATCTAGAATACACAAATGAAAGCGTATATTTGTCATCGTGCAAAGAATACTTGTCGGTAATATTTTACAAGGTAATTAAGACAATAGATGTCGAAACAATAATGAAATATCTAAGACGCAGTTGTTAGAGATGATAATTAGTACGCTAGCCGGAGATAACTCACAGGATAATAACGAAATAAAAAGGACACAGCTTTCTGTATGGGAAATGAGTTATTGACATATTCTCTGTTAGTTTTCAAGTTAACCATGAGGGACTAATGGTAATGAAACTTTTTGGTGGACTAAATATTTAACAATTATATTTTTTTATTTTAAAGAATATTTGAATTTTTAAATAAATTTTATTTAATATCTATATATTTTATTTGAATATAAGAACATGTTTTTGCGTTAAAGGAAGTGAATAATTTTTAGTATTTTTACTACTCAGTTGATGTCTCCTCTTCTTAAAGAGCACATTTAGAAGCAATCTAAACAACCGTGAGCAGTCAGTAATGTAGAGATGTGCTTTGCACTTCTTGTATCTAGCAAGAAAAAAATTAGAATGAAAACCTGACACACATTTAATCCATACATGAATACGAAACACTGTGGAAGATGTACATGATAATGTTGGTTTGCGAAGAGAACTTTTTGCATTTTAAACTCTGATTGCAAGGCCTCTTAAGCCCCAGTTAATCTCAAGTAGAACTAAATTGGCATCCACTTTTTCTTAGGTCTATAATTATATATTTACCTGACACATGAATCTGACCTTTTATTGGCGATATTTGTTGCGGTCGAAAAATTACCGGTTTAAAGTGTCCGTCTAGTGGTGGCGGTTAATCTAAGGATCGGATATCGCATTGCCTCATAAATTATCCCTGCCAAAAACGAGTTGAGAAATGCGACTCACAAGGCGTATAACGTGTGTTTTGTAACCCCACGAACTTGCGAAATGCCGAGTGTGGGAGCATTAGATAAGAGCACAATACACGGGCGACTTTTAAAAGACAGGTAGCGGATTTTTGGTGCGAAATACTACGTGAAATGGGTTTTGATTGCATTTTCTATTTCTAATGTCAGTTCATCAGGTTCATTCATCTATCACTTAAGTATGTCTTTCAGACCAAATCTTTATTTTAGTTTCTGTACCATCCATGATAAACCTCAGTGTGTCATCTTAAGTACTGATGCTTTCTTTTTTCACAACATGGCTTTTCAAAGTTCTATGTGTGGTGTATTTAAAAACTCGTACTGGTAAGAAAGCTATTTGCTTTATTGGCTTTATTGATGAGATGACAGGTTTATATAATGTTTACATAGTTGTAAGTGTTTGTACTTAGAATTGGATCATAGGGTATAGTATCTATTGTTAAGATTGATGTTACTGTATATCAGTTCAACTCGCGTCGAGTTAAATCCATGTTTTCTGCATGTATGTGTTACCAACTGCTAGAAAAATGAAGGCCTATTGGGTTCTAGCATCTTTGCGTATATTTAAGGTGTGCCTTCAACGGTATGAACCGAAATGTACGCAAATCAAACCCGATAAAAGGGAGCGTGACACAGAACAGTAACACTGTTTCAGAATGTTTATTTGGGGCAACGCGAAATGTGCCGAGAATGTATACAGTGTAGGTACTGCACATATAGACCAGGGTTTGGTTTCCTTCATTTTGTTTATCCTGCACTACCCTTATCTCCAGCCTGTTTTTGCCTGCACACAAGCATGGCCAGGGATGCCTTTTAAAATATTGTTCTGTTAGGGATAGGTGTTGGCAGCGTTGGCATATTCTAAGGATGCATGGGTGAGAGAAACGCCAGTGTTACCTCGATTGAAGACAGTCGATCGCCTTGATTCTACCAATAAACCAAATTGCTTAGGTTACTTAAGACAATCGTAATGAACACCATTCATCAGCAAGGTATAGAGATGGATTGAAGTTCTTCGCCATTTACTCTTGGCATATTGAAGTTCCTGGTGGATGTTCCTGGGACATATTGATAGGTTGTTAGAGGGCAAACGATACAATTCAACTGGCAATTTCACTCCTGCAATCTGATTATGGCACTGATCAACACATTCAACGGCATTATGGGACGGCAACATTTTATATTCTCCTCCAAATTTACATGACGTTTTTATAGCTGTCTCAAATAACGATCGCACATATTCTGGAAATTGCTGAATATTGTTTCTTAGGATAAAGATGGTTTATCAGAAAGTCGAACAACTGGAACTGTTGATATAGGGCACAGTTTGAGATAACCTGTTATAATTTACATTGAACTGGATCCATCGGCTTCTACAAGATAAATCAAATAAAGGAATGGCCAGTACTGTATTAAAAAGGATAAGTTTAAGAAAACAAAAACGTTGCAGACAACATGTGTATGGTTACCATATGGGTCGCAACACTGCTATCAACTCGGAGCTAATTGCCCGGTAAGTAATTGACACTAGACGGTCGTAATTCTCAGTCGAGAGAATATCTTTTTTTCACTTAATCACAATTATAGAATTCTAATTGGAGCAGCACTGATGAAGGTACCGCTCCAGCTGGGTCCAGGAAAATATAATAGATAGTAGGAAGTGCCTAACGCTCCTTTCGTCAAATGGTTAAGCTTTGTTTTAGTAACTGAGTTTTTAATCTGTGGCTCTATTGTATGTTTAAATCGAAAGTTATATAATGGGTTTTAGAACATATAAAAAAAGATAATTAGAAGGGTTTGCTTGAAGAACAATATAACAAAGCTTTAATTATTAATCCGAAATTCCTACTTTACAAGCCCCTATTTTGTCGCAATCACCATGTTTTGCTTGTCTTAATGCGTGGCTTGCTACAGAATGTACATCAACTGCATTATATTACGCAACTTTAGCCTAAAACAATCCATCAGCTCTTGTTCCATGACTACTCTAAATACTACGTAGTAATGTCTCTGTTTGACTCGGTGACTGTCGTTACGTTCTTGTATGCGTCCGATTCGAAACCCTTAGTCCAAACTGTAATGTCGAAATACAGTATTTAACCGCTATTTTCTCAGAAAAAGTGCAATACAAGTCCTAATCACCATGTTATGCATGTTATGGTTACAAAAAGGGTCTCGTTTCTTTCTCTCTCTCTCTCTCTCTCACTCTCTCTCTCTCTCACACACACACACACACACACACACACACAGGTGAGAGGGGGGAGGTAAACTTAGACTACGAAGATCGTAAAATTAGCTTTGCAATATTGTTCTGGTAAATATGAATGATCGACCCCAAACAACTGCAGTGACATGCTAACTGAGAGTAGAGGACGTTTTCAAGATAGTCAAAATTTTCTCTGGGGGCTCAGTTAAAAACGTAACCATTTTTTTTTCAGAAAACTCTCGACTTCAATCGTTTTCGGAACTAACCCAGGATACTGAAAATCCGACCAAAATTCTTCGTGAGATTCCGACAAAACTGTTTCTTTTTACGTAAATCTTCTGAAATGTTGCCCTATTCTAATTGAATATGTAAAGCACCCTAAATACGGTATGCGTATGTTGACTTTGCCTTTGCACTGAGTACAAAATGGCTATCGTAAAAACTATGGCGTTATAACTTTTACGTGGTGGAGGGATTATCACATTTTAACAGTTATCTATAGACAGTCTCAAAAGTTAAATGATGTTGAACAATAGTTTTATAGTTACAAAAGTAGTAAGTTCTGTTCTTCATTTTCCTTGAATCCACAATATATAGTAGACCTACATATTGATGTTCTTCGTCCTTTGGATCTCCTTACACATGTATGCAAAGAGAAGCCCATGACATAAGTTCCGTAGATTTCGGTTTATTTCACTGTACCATTTAAGCAATATAAAGTGCTTTTCCCTGATTCTACGCTGTTTCCTCATCACACGCCGCAGTTCTTTGACTAATGTTCATAAGCAGAATCAGCATTAGCTACTACATGGCCTGTTACTACAAACACACATGGAGATGTTTCTAGATGGGAGCTCTGTTCCGCACAACACGGGATGTTGGCATGATGTCGACATTGCTTTACATTTGCATATTGATGTTAGTGTCGCCGTAAGTATCTCGGAAGGTAAGACCTTGGTAGTTATCTACAGACAATCTTGCCATGTCGATATGAAAAGAGTAAGCACCTGTGTAAGCCTAATTAAAATTCTTATAATTACTTTCATCACTCAGGCTAGCGCTCGACTCCTGTATGATTAAAATCTCTATCTTGCGCTAAAGAGAGAAAGGGAGAGGGGTGGTTAGGGAGAGATAGGGTTTCAACGTTTCTTCATCCGTGTTAAAGAGTGACGGACCCTGGTCATTTTCATTCATCTTAATCATAATTACTTGACAAGTATGCTTACTGTATAGTAGTCATAAGGGCTTATTTTAAGACTTCAAGCCTAATTTAGCACGGTGAAGATTTTTGTGACAATGGACTTCATAAAACAACCCGCATATCACTTAGAGTATAAAAATAAGGGAGGAATCGCCGATGCATATACAGTGCGATTGTCTCTGAGAAAGAGTGTGTGATTTGCCGTGGGTGCTCCAACCGAAGACCATGTCTGTAAGGAAAGGGCACGCCGAATTGTTCGCAAGGTAATAATTTTTTTATCAACATTGTCATGGAGTGCAAACATTGGATACCCGGATCCAGAGTTTGAAATCGACCCCTGACCGTCAGACCGAGTTCCACAAGTTTCTGAACAGGCTGAGGTTTTTATCTATCGGCCCCTCGGTCAAGTAACTTTTTTTGAGAAACCGCGCGTATCAAACAATTATGTACATTGTTTTCATTGATAAAGAGTTATGGATTTATATAGAAACTTATCTTGTCTGTGTTTTGCACCAGCTGCTCGGGTGCCTAGTAATCGTTCCGGTTCGCTTTATTTTCGAGATCTTCAAAGCGGTTCACGCGTTACCTCCGGTGCGATTATTAATTTCCCAAAAGAACAGACGCACAATACGTTTATTAGGCATGATAAGAACTGGTTGGAAAATATTGAGAAGCACACAATTTTCAAGTTTTAATCATGAACAGTGTTATGAATAAGCAGCCACACGGTAGTCAGGACGGACCTTGGCGAGTGCCTACTGCCTTGGCTGAACCAGCTCACTATGGTCTAGGCCAGCTGAATCCGACCGCTCTTACCGGTACGATGATGGAAATTACCTTCTAGTTGGCTTTTACCAAACTGCAAACTTTAACTTGATTGTTTTATACTTTGTCCAAGTAGGTTTTGTTTTTTTATTCAGTTAAACTAAAACGACAGGTTTGTATATTCTGCACAACTCCCCATTTCCCGATTTGGCATACTTGATATGGTCAGTAAAATAATTTTGAGGAGAAATAGAAGAGAGATTAGGTTTCCATTAAGTCTGAGCATTGTGATTAATGAATCCGGTTAAATTTGTCGTTTTTGTGAAACCAGCATAAATTCGCAGTGCTTTATACATGAATAACTATTTTGAGGGTCATGAAACTGACTGAGCAAGCATCAAAAGTGTTCACACATCGTGGTACCGTTTTCTCTTCCCACAATCTTACAGAACAGATAGTTGGCTTATTTTTTTTACACTTCAATAAACGTGGTAGTCATTGATATTTTTCAAATTTTATTCATAAATTATTGTTATCATTTTTGCAGGAACTGTCGTGCGCAAATAATAATAATAATAACTAAAACACTATCAAATTTTGTCTAAAACTGATTCATTGTCACCACAGTTTTTTGCGTGCGTCCATCATTATGACTTCAAAACTACAACTAAATTCTTTGAAGACGGTCTGAGTATAAATGTAACTGGGTTTTCGTGAATCATGGGCGCCCTTCTTCCATCGACCACCAGTTTGGCTCAGTCAATGACTGTGACAAGAAACGTGTACCACTAAGGGCATATTTACTTGCCATTTGTAAAAACTACTCTCGTGTATCGGTGACAAATTGTGACTAGCGGTGCAGCCAAGCAGGTCTCTAGGTCGTAGATTTCATTTTAGAACATGTTGCAAACTGAGACGATCTCCGCACTAGGTTCTATTAGTTCCCGATCTCATTACATCATCGCTCCATGGTACATGTTACATCTTTATCAAGTCATAGTTTCCTGGTATGTAAAATGCATAGGGACAAAAGGTGTTTATATATAATTTGTTAGTGTGTCATTACCCTTGAGTTTTTTAAATGTAAATTAGTTGGACTGTCATTGTTTATCAGGCATCAAAGTGCTTGATTTTTCTGAGTGTTAAAAGATAAAAAAGGCAATTAACACTTGCCAACACTTGCTCTCTTTTGTACAAAGAGTGCTGTACCAATACATGTAATTTCAGCGTTTACACATGTTTGTTGCACTAATTGCCTTATCTATTGGCTTTCGTAGGAGTTATTTCCGATATATCGGTCTATCAAGCAACTACACAAATGTAAATGACGACATATCGTTCAAGAACGAAATAACAACTAAGTGCCATTCTTGAAGATAAACAAGGCAGCCGACAAGAGTTTTAATCGTTTCACCCGAGCCGAGAACAAGAAATGCCATCCCATTATCAATCAGCATACATTCCTTCTGAGTCACAACTTCCCCCTCCACCCAGATCTAAAACTGTTACAGTTCTGCGTTTTTGACTAACAGGTCCAAATTGATTAAGTGTGACATTATCTAAATACTAGTGCTCGCCTTGAAAAAGATTGTTTGATGGAGAATATGTTTAAATGTACTGAATGGTTAAAAGGTAGCGTTTTATAGTATATTACAATGCCAATATCATTTTCTCTCTAAGTGTAATTTGTATGGATGGCTGTACATGTAGAAAAAGAAGTGCTTGGCGAACTTTTACTTATCAGACCACCTCAGGTATGAACATCTATTCCATATGTACCGTTTGTAATTAAAAAATAGTAGACTAATAGGCAGACAATTAAGCATGACCAGCTGAGAGAGTTAAACTTTAAACCAGGTCACCGTAGTTTACTCCCCTAACTGCGTATGTATGCTGACGTGTAACATGTGCCAAACCCACATTAACATGTAAAAAGCAACACATCCATCATTTAGGACAGTATCGTCAACATCTTTAGTTTGTTTTAAGTCCATGATTAATTTCAGTTTGGTTTTACCTTGGCATCTAACTCGAGTAAGATGTTGTACGCAATGGGTTTAAGAAAGTTTTTTCACATAAGTAGTAGATCCAGAATCCGATAATTGTACACCGCTTTCGCTGCAAACAAGGGAAAATGGCAAACAAAAGCTGAAAAATTCCCAACGCATCATAGGACACGTCAATCAATGAATGTGTTCTGATCTGGGTCTGTCTTCATTGGGAATTCAGGTATCACCTTGAAATATTACTTATGGCCAACAAATATATCTGAAACCAATAGAGATAGACCTATGGCAATCATTAAACTTGTATAGAAAATCCCCTGCAAAGTTGGACAGATCCAGCTAGTACGATGTGTGAATCTGAATGCACCCTTAGCGATTCCGTTCTCTTCCCTATTCATATGGAGTGCCCTGCATGTTCTCTCAACCAGCCAGCTGGGTGATTTTCTTTCTTTCTTTTTTTTTAAGTATAGAAAAGTGAACAGAATAGCCAGAGAAATGCATGTGAATTTATTTTGAAAAAAATTCTATCTGTTATCACGGCAGAGGGCATTTTGTATGTACCGCGGAGGGGGGTGATAAGGACAATACATGTAGATGTTGCTCCGAATGATTTTGGCGATAAGACGTGCGAATGCATACCTTCATCTAAATAATAGCAGGATGTTCTGAACTCTCTGTGACTGACACATGCAAATTGTGCAAACAAGCATGTTGTGATGTAAACAAAATGTGCTTTGTCTAATCAAGTATAAATGTTGTTACCACGCCTCTTTGGACTTTGAGTGAGACCCATCAATTAGGGTTTGATAGCCGTCGGCAGAGCACTTAAGATTTTTTCGATTAATTAATAATCTAAGGTACAATACAATTAACTTAGGAAAAATAGTCGATATTGTTTAAGAAACATAAGATAGATTAAACTAACATTTAATTCTCAATAAAGATGGTTTTTAACCGATAGGTCAAATAAGTGCAATGAGAATGGCTTACTTCTTAGGGTAAAATCAATCGCCCCACGGCAGGCGAAATCTCGCGTTTTTCTAATCTCGTATGACGTCACGCACTACAAAGGCTTTCTCGGTTTATTGCCATTAGGTGCAAGTGATAAGTTATTTTATTTATTCCTATTTTTATATGAAGACATTTTAGCTGTGGTCCTGTCATGGTTCAGCCTATTCTTTATGCATTTCCCTCTTTTGTCCAATAACGAGTAGCTCCAATTTAACTTTAATATTCATTATTTTACTACTAAGTTTTCGCTAAAGGGAAAATCTTAGTTACGAAACTTTATAACATTTGTGAAGAGCATAAAGTACATGTAGGTGTTTGCTACAGGTGTCAACTGTGGTCCTAGTATATTTGGTTACACAGGTATGACGCGCTGGCAGCACAAGTGACGCCACCTCCATTAGTCATTAAGACCTGCAAAACGAAGGCACATTAAATCACGTGACGTCTCGTCAACTAAAGGGACGGTGCTCTATAAATAGCTAGGATGGTCGTGAGCTAGTGTTATCGCTGATATTAAACTATCTTTGGCATATACCTGATGGCTCCCCAAAAAACTGCCCTTAATGGGATTTTTGGTATTACTTCAGCGGTCAGCGACATCAAGTCCTGTCCCCGCAGACATCCAGAGAAAAATTTGGACCGAAGGTAGGCGGAGTTACGTAATTTCATCAATTAGATTAAAATGGACAGACACTATTTATAAAGTAAAATGAAAGTTCACGATTTTAATACTGCAGAAGAAAATGAACAGGTCAAAAGAGTGATTAAGATGTCTGGGCAACAATACATTATAGCCTACTTAGGGAACGAGTATTTTCGTCTTTCTGCACCCAGCACAGATTATGCAATGCACCGAATATTGGTGTATTCTTGTTTTCATATATCGTCCTGAATATAATAAAGATAAATAATCTATATTCTACAAACTTAGATGAATCTTCAATATGGTAAAGAAAAGGGGGAGGCTTATGTAAAATTCGCCCAGTTGTTTTTCATAACGTCCACCTCACTGAACACGTAGTGGTCACAATTGTACACTGTAAGCGCTTTCAGTGTTGGAGTACAATGTCGTAAATGGCATTGTTACGGTATAATGCAAAAGCTCTATTACATCATAGCATTTGGGAGGTACACAAGAGAATAAAAGCAAGTACTGTATAAAGATCAGATGGCACATGTTTATAGCGAAAGAAGTCTTTGAAAATGCTCCCACTTGGCACATGTATTTTCCTCTGAATAGGTAGTCAATCACAAAAGTGGATCAATTCGAAAGGTTTACACCGTAAATAAGAAGCCCAACTCTGAATCTTTAACATTTGACAGTGCTCAAAGAATGCTACATGTGTAATATGTCGTCCTAAGTAATGTTTCTTGATCCGATGCTCTATTTCAGTGTGGAGCGAATAAAACGTTCCAAGAGCAGACCGTCTAACTCGGATATTGGTCTCTATTTGAAATAAACATTGTTTTGGGGGTAGAAA